CCCCCCCAGGAAGGTTTTGGGGGTTGGGGGGGGGGGGGTTACGTGTTTGCGTTTGTCTCGCGAGCGAAGGGTGCAGGTAGCCGAAGAGCTAGCGCTGTCCCTGGCCGAGATGCAGTTCGTGTGCGCTTACTGGCTGCTGTACCTCGTTCCGCATACCCAGAAGTGGCCCGCCAACGTCGAGAGACACGTGAGTCGTCACCATTGTAAGCGGAGATCGCCGAGTTTCTCGGAGATGAGTGTGAATCGGTCGGTTTCACTTCTATGGTCAAGGGCGGTGTGTTTGTTTGTTTTGAGGCTGACGAAAATCTTGTTGCGGGTTCTTCGGGGATTGCCTAGACTCGCCGTGAGAGGCAGGCTGTTCGTCTACTAGATACTTTCGTTGTCCTTCCGCTTTCGTGGTGGCCCTTGAAATCCGTTCGCACTCTTGCGCCTTTTAGTGACGAAGAAGAAATGAAAACAACACCCACCCACATATTATGTATCTTCCTTTTGCGAGTGCTCTTGATGCGGAGAGAGGCTAGATGAATCTCCTTTCGTCAAATGTTCACCGCGACTTGCGCCGTCGATGGAGCTCCCGTTGTAGGAGGCGTGTTCGCGATGTTTAGCAATATTTATGCATTCTACAACCGATATCTATATAATCGAGATATTAGTACCCGAGTCGAAATGGATGTACTTCGTGTGTGTTGAAGCCTTTACAAGGGATGGGGAAAGGAACGCATTGGATTTTTTTTTCTGTCCTGCAAAAAAATAATAAATAAATACATGTCTGTCGTATTTTCATTGGTCAGCCGGTTACAGTATCGAGCTCGACGCCACTTCAAAACACACACACGCACACACCGCATCACTCCAAACCGCACGCATGCACAGGCTCGAGAGGTTCAGGCCCACCTCAGCGCCCTCCGATCCCTCTGTCGGGGTTTGCTAGAGAGGGTCAGGATCGGCCCGGATCCCTTGGAGGGGGCGGGGGCCGGAGGGGACTGGAAGCAGATCAGGGCCGAGAATCGACTGAGGGGATTGAGGGGGAGGGACGAGATTATCGCCAGGGAAGAGCGCTGCGTGATGTGCATGGTTCATGTGAGACGGCCCGCGTGTGTGTCTTTCTTGGGGTGGTGGGCTTTGGGAGGGGGCGGGGGGTAGGTGTACACCTGACGTATGTTCATTGGTCAGCCTGTTAGCGCGGTCGATGCCAATAGCATAGACACACACACACGCACACCGGGGGTACTACCACGTATTGTTGATGATTCATCAACTTTTCCCTCCCGCGCGATGACAACAAGTAGACCCAGCCTAACGGCGAGGACGGCAAGGAGTACCTACCGATGGTGTGCAAGGGTTGTGGAATGAAGAGGCACGGCGGCTGCCAGTGGATGTGTGTCCGGAGCTCGGTGTGCGGCCTGTGCGAGCAGTCGGACGTGCTCAGGGAGTTCGTCAGCAACAACGACATGGCCGCGGTGAGCTACACGACGAAAAAAAAAAAAAACGTCTTGTGTGTTTTCGCTCTTCTCTGCTGTTTCTTGTTTTGCTTCGCTATTGCCCTCCCCCCGCGCTGATTCTGGTCTCTGCCGCAGTGTGGATGGCGACCCTGCGCTTAGTCTTGTGTGTTGTGTGGAGATGCATGTTATCGTCCGTAAGTGCGGTGTTGCTTCTGCTGTGGCTGTGGGTGCACCCACACGCGTGTGCGGTAGTTTATTGTCTCGCTTGCTTGCTCGTAGGCAGCTGAAACTAGTGCAACAGCTCCTAGATGCCGGTGTAACACGATTGTCACGACGAGGAGGAACAAACCAGCGAACTGCTGTCCACCCTATTAAAAAAACGAGCACCCCCCCAGGAGTTCGAGATTATGATGCCAACTTGTCTTTGGAACCCTCACCCCCCCACCAGCCTCTGGTTCATCCTTGTGAAACGTACAGCACTAGCCTGGGTCCGCGAAAACGCTACCATATCGCTCCGTCCCGGCATTGTAGAGATGCGAGGCCAATGGCTAACGATTACGGCATGCGTTTACACGAGTACCCTCCCCCCCCC